AGAAGAAGTCAGTTTTAGGATGACAGGCACCTACCTTATTTAAGAAAGGTGAAAACAAAATAAAAAATTTTTCCTAATTCATAAGTTTCAGAATATGCTGCATTCAATAAAAGGGCCGAAGAGCCTAGTTGGCTTCCGGGCTCCGTACTCTCCTCTAGTAATAGTTCCGTTATATATAGGTGCCAAAAACGACCAATTTTTATTCCTCCCTCTCAATTTTTCTCTTGCCTTCAATTTTCATCCTCGCAATTTATCGAGAATCTTTCTAGCTTCTCTTCCAAAAGTTTTCAAGCCCCATCAAAACCGTTCAAGAAAAATTTCAGAACCCTACTTTCCTATTTCCTGGGACTAACTATTCAGACCACACAAAATAGAGCCCAGGCCAGAAGCCCAAAAGGATGCATTACAGTACCCTGCCTAGGTACTGTACTTAATTAGAAAACGTAATCATTTAATACGCGAAATGACGAAAACGAACTTCTTGGTGAGAAATCCAGCGATGTGGATGGTGAATGAGAGTCGGTTGTGCGATTTTCGATACCTGAGTCGTTTAGATCCTCTTGATGAGAGGATGGCGAGTGAATTGTGAGGATTTCTTCTTTTGTCTCCTGAATAATGAATACATAGCTATCGAAATTTTTCTGCTAACAAAACTGAACAAATAAAAGGATGTCGAGAATCTTTTCGTGAATGTTCTGTTTTCTCTTAAATCAACCCTACGTTCATGAGTATGATCCAGGGAATCTTGCTCTCAAAAGCAAGTGGATCTATCAGAAAAAATTCCAGTTAATATTTTGCACCTCAAAAAAAAATTAACAAGAATCCTGTTATTATTGAAATTTGAGGCTTTTTAAACTCGGATACACAAATATTTCTGACTTAACCTTGCTGATACAAGAGCCCAGCATCGGTAAATGCTTCGAGAGCCAAAGTCAATTTTCAGAAATCACTGTGGAGTCAAAGAAAAGAAACATATGAAAGGAAGGGAAAAGGCAGTATTAGCGTAATAGTAACCAGTTACCATAAGAAACCCAATAACCCCGACCATTAGCAGATAGCCTCTAAAGGTCTCATTGAGTACACGAAAAGATGTTCGGGAACTCACTCAACGGCACCTCGCACCAAAAGTTACCAAAAAGTTCATTTCCTTTTTTCTTTGATTGACAAAAATGGCAGGCATTTCAAAAAAGTTAACCTCGAAAAATTTATCAAAACTAATTAGCAATTTTGAGGAAGTGTTTAGATCAAATTCCAAGGAATACAGACAACAGCGGTTTTTTGGTAATCTGTAATTACTGCAACTAAGCGGCATTTTTTGCTTATGGAGCTCTAATTATCTTGAAGCACTTAAGATCCGCTCAAAATTAATACTTCGATAGCAAAATTAGGTTGTAATTGTGAAAATTATGAAAAGCGAATAGAACTATAGTGGAATTCCTTCGCCAGAGAAATTTTGGTGAGGATACCATGCGAAATTAGAGAAAAAGGTAGACCATTACTCTTGAAACTCACGAAGAATCAGAAAAATCTTAACATCAATACAAACCCCCTTCTCGTCAGTGAACCTGACAATGTGATAACGTCTAGGATACGCCATGTAGAGTGTTCCTTTGGAGATCGAGGAGATTCGCCTTAGCGATGTCGCGACGTCGGATGCGGCGGGCAACCGTTGTGCGCAGTGCGATGATGGCGGTCTGTCGACGCGACAAAATTGCCGTCGCAGCCATGGACTGAGTCATCGCGACGCGATCACAATGCCATTTACGCTTTGTTTTGTCCGTTCGCATCCGACGAACCCATGAGTCGTGATGATGGGTCATACCGTGTTGGGTTGGGTAAGGTAACACCCCAATGAAAGGAGACAGGGGTACAGTAATACCGAAGACAGTGGGGAGCAAGCTGATCTTTTCAGTCTTTCTCTAAGACGATATTGCTAAACGCAGGAGACGAGAGCAAGTCCTTCACTACACAAACACTCTGCGTCTCTAACCTGACTCAAAGCGTCTTACGAAGTATAGCCACGCGATACTATAGCATTTCTTGGAATAACTGTAGAGTCTGGTTACTGTAAGGTTCAGTTCCCGGGGTATTCGTTAAAACCTTAGTCAAGCCGCTCAAGTATCCGGAATTTCCGAAAAATATGGAAACCATACAATTAACGAAAACTCCAATACAAGGAAAAACTTTACTGGAATGTGTTCCTGACGCCACTTGATGGGTTAGTTACACTTTGAGGATTTTTTCCAAAACTAATTCGACTTTTATAAGAAAACAGAAGTTCCGGTGGTTTTCTAAAGTTTCCCGGACATAATGTTGTATCAATCCAAGATAGCTTGTTGTTATCGAACTAAGACAAGTAAGTATTAGTAAGTAAGTCTTAGTAAGTCATAAGTAATAGTTTTTAATTTTTGTGGCGTTAATTAATCCCGTCTGAGGGTTGCGTCCCGCATTCGACTTCCATTCAGAGTCGTAGTG